TGATAGTATCTCCGATCAAACAACTGCTTTCTTTCTAAACTGATAGAGTACCCATAAGCCATGTAACAGTAATATTTAATTGCATTATATCTTCCGGATAAGCAGTTGCTAACAATTAAAAAAATAGCTTTTGATGTGGGTCGTATATTGTGTTAATCAATTCATTACTAATTAATTAACAATTTTTAACATCATATTTTATCTGAGTTTATTTGTTATGGATTTGTTAAACCACTAATACCTTTGTCGCGTGGGAAAATAGCGGGCTTGGGTAGGCGTCTGACCTTTTCAGGGGTCGAAACGAAATGACAGCCGCTGATCAGATTTATCAATGGCAATCGTCGTCGGGCCCGATCTCCAAATATTCAGGAGTTTGGAAAAACAGCCAGTTTTTCCTATTTCCCCATGCGGGAAAGGTACTAGTGGTTTAATATGTTTGGAATTAATCTTAAACTTTATGGTAAAACTTAATCTTAAAAATTACTCTGACCACTAATGTCATCAAATCTCCATCCTCTATGTTATTGTTCAAAGTTAGTCTACCGAAGCCTTGATGCAATTTGACCATATATGAATGTTGTAGGAAAAAACCCAATATTATAATAATAAAGTTTTATTTTTAGGAGCAAAAAACAAAAAGCAAAATGCCTTTCTTAGTCTCGTACTACTCCTCAATCTCATTCTCTGGGCCTCCTAAGACATGTCAAATAGCATTCCCCCCTTAGTCTTAGATCAATATGATGATTAGATTTATGTAATGGACAATTTAGTGTACTCCTCTTTCTGGTTGAGGAAGACCTGTATTTCACTTTTGATTTCTGGATTATACCCTCAATGTTTTGAAATTTTAGAACCAAGTCCTTTCTTTTTTGGGGATAGTAGGATACATGTTGAAACTTGTATATTCCTTACTCTTTGTGAGGACTTTTAAACATTTCATTATATTTTTCATCCTTTAGCAAGCTTGTGTCGATGCATGAGTACTTGTATCAGGACTCGTGCTACGTTGCATAGAGTACACGTACGGGGCCTTTGTGTACGAAACGTACAGGTAATATATGTACGGGATCTGTACGAGAACCTGTACGGAAACCTGTACGTCTTGTACGCCCCCGTACGAAAAAAAAAAAAAAAAAAAAAAAAACAAGTTATCAAAAAAATCCAAAAAAAATATATGTGATGCAACAACACAAAACAAGCAACATTTGGAGAGCATCATCTTCAGATTCTTATTAGAATTTGAGAAAAAAAATAAAAATACTACCAGATTATTAAAAAAAAAAAAAAAAAAATCTCGTACGGGGCCCCTAGCGTACGAGTAGCGTACGAGTACAAGAGTACGAATCCGTACTCGTACGAGGGTGCGTACAAGTGGCAATGCAGGGTCACTCGTGACACCGCTTATCTTCTTTCTTGGGAGTTCGTCGGACATCCATCTATCATTTTTTCATTGCAGGTTTCTATGTGTACACATTTTCTTGTTGTGTTTTTAACATTATCACATTTTTTTTGTCTGGCCTCATCCACAAATCTTCAACTCTTTTTCTATTTCCTCCTTCGCTCCATCTTAACCGCGTTCTTCTTGAACCTCTCTCCCCCCCCTTTGGTCCCCTCTTGTTTATTTCGTTCATCGACTAGGTTTGATACCAGATCATCGTACAGAATGAGTCCGAGTTCCCTATGCCCCAGGATGGTCCTGCAAGACCCTCAAATCTCCTTCTCTCCTGTCCCTTCTCCTCTATTGGCCTTTCGCGCATGCATTCGTTTACCATTGCACAACTGTAAGTTTCTCCTGCATGGCTTGATTGCTCTCACTATTCTTGAAAGATAGCCAGATTGGGTATACTAGCTAGTTGGTGGTTTTTTTTTTTTGTGTGTGTGAAAACATCATTAGCGCGAGTGCCTGCTAGCGGAGTTGGTAGGAACAACCTCCACTAGCAGCCCTCAAAGGGTTGATGGCTCCATTCTATTGGTGGGGAGATGCACCTGCTGGGAATGGGGTCGAGCGTCCTATTGGTAACAGTCTCTCGAAAATTGGAGTGCTGACATCGGGTTGACAAGTTGGCTCTGACGATAACCAAGGGCTTGCCGCAGACCTGACGTGAAGATTTTTCCAAGCCGTACAGTTCCTTTTTTTTTTGGGAAAACTAGGGCGCAGTCATGGTTTTCAGTTTAAAATGTGTTTCAGTCACGGTTTTGCAAATTTTACTCCAAAGCGAGGAAAATTGTGAATGTATCCAACCCACCTTTAGGGTTGGGTGGAAATGTGTTGTATTCGAGGGATGCCTGAAGTGGATTTAGAACTGAAAACGTGACTGCGCAGTAGTTACCCCTTGCTTTTTTTTTTTTTTTTTTTTTTTTTTTGAAAGAAAGAATCCAAGCGCTTTGTGTGTGTGTGTCAGGAGTACCGTTAGGTTCCGTGTGCGTACGTCTTCACCCAACTAAGAACACGAGGTCATAACAGCTGAATATGGGCCAACAGGCAATCTAGATAAAGTTATAATCACCGGCCATTCTATTCCCGTAATGATGGTAGCCATAAGGCCGGCAAGTCGCATTGGGCGGGGCTGGCCGTCCAAACGGCCGAGAGTGTCGGAACGCAGCCCAAACAGTGGCACAAACGGAACACAAATGGGACCGAAGCTCAAACCGCATCACAAACGGAGTGACAGCCCAAACGGTTTCGAACTGCAACCCTTACATCACCCTACCTTCTTCCCCCGAATGCAACGCACGGGTCGTTATAGCTGTATTTGGGGTAGCTTTCAGTCTAAATACGGGTATAATGACTGAAAGTTGTATTAGGGGGAAGAAGGTATTTTTTCCTTCAGCAAGGCCTCTATCACGGGCGAAGTCCCACTAGCAGCGTTAAGTTTCCTCAACGCGTGAATCTGGACGTGTTTGTGGAGATGTGGGGTTGAGGAAACTCAACACGATTTGTGCACATTGCCCTCATACATGTCCAGATTCAGGCGTTGAGGAAACTCAACGCTGCTAGTGGGACTTGGCCCCCGGCGGTGGTAAGGGAACCACAGGGATTGAGGCATTGCCTGTCGGGCTGTTCCATCTATGGGTGGGGATAGGCACCTGCTGGAAACCAGGTCCAGCGTGCCTTAGATAAAGCCTCGAAACAGAGTGTTTGTTGGGACTATGGTCAGATCAGTTCTTAGCCTGGAGCATCATCTTTCCCTTGGGGGATATCAGTCAGAAGGAGAGGCTTCAAAAAAAAAAAAAAAAAAAAAAGGCCGCACGAGTGGGAGTGGTAGACTGGTAGTTGTCAGGATGAGGTGGGGGGCTGGTGATTGATGTTAGCAGGGCCCCATTGATCTTCGGCAATGGTAGTTACGGAGAGGGACCTTCGTTGGGGCCGCTTGGAGGAGGGGGGGGTTATGTCTTTGCTGGGTGGGGACGGGGCTCCGTGCTCTCGTGAGAGCAGGATCACCTCGACTGTCCCCCCATTCTTGATGTATTGTTTACCTTTGGCACTGGGCCCTAATGGAGGCAGCCTGAGTGCTGGAGAGAGAGAGAGAGAGAGAGAGAGAGAGAGAGAGAGAGAGAGAGAGAGAGAGAGAGAGAGAGAGAGAGAG